GCACATAAGCCAATGCCCTGGGTGGAGGTGTGAATGGGAGGCATATAAAGCTGCTTCTCGGGGCCTGCTCTCCCCCCACTTCTCAGGGAGGCCGTCCTGTCCAAGTTTCTGTGGCCTTAAACAGCCACATCCTGTAATCTGAAGTCAGTGACCTATGACCTGTCTCCTCATTTGAAGAAATTACCAATTAGGTTCCATCTCTCTTGGGCATCTGTCTGTTGACAGTGGGATCTGAGCTAAAGATCCTGAAGTTGATAAGTTGACTGAAGCTGGAGTGGTCATTATGGGATGGTGCAGGATGGGTAAGTAGAGGGAGGGAAAATGGCAGAGATGGTCAGAGAGAAGCAGACACACACACACACACACACACACACACACACACACACACAAACACAAGATGAGGGAGGAGAGGGCAGGGTAGAGGAAGAGGAGCCCATCTTGATGAGTTTGTAGCCTCTGTTCCAGGTTTCCATAGGCCAGCTATCCTTCAGCATCTTGGGTAAGAGGTCTGGGGTGAGGTTGAGCAGGTTCGGAAAGTTGGAATAAGTTTGTCTGGAGCAGGTGACTGAGGCCATGTGGGAGAGGGATACAGCCTGGAGAGGAACTAGAAAGGACTTTGGAAAAAAAGGGAAATCCAGATCCAGAGGCTCGATTGCTAGATTTGCACATGATTGTCAGTGTGTCCCTACCAGAAGCAGCTTCCTAGAGCCAGCCAGATGGGTCTCTATTCCAAAGGAACTTGAGCAGAACAGGAAGTGAGGAAGTAGTGGCAGTGAGTGTGGACAACTCCTTTAAGAAGTTGGCTGGACGCGGTGGCTCAAGCCTGTAATCCCAGCACTTTGGGAGGCCAAGGTGGGCAGATCACGGGGTCAGGAGATCAAGATCATCCTGGCTAACATGGTGAAACCCCGTCTCTATTAAAAATATAAAAATTTAGATGGGCATGGTGGCACACATCTGTAGTCCCAGCTACTCAGAAGGCTGAGGCAGGAGAATCACCTGAACCTGGGAGGTGGAGATTATAGTGAGCTGAGATCACTACACTGCACTCCAGCCTGGAGTCAGACTCTGTCTCACAAAAAAAAAGTTTAACTTTGCAGGGAGGAGAGAGATGGGGCAACAACAGGGTAGAGTGATGAGAGCAGCTTAAAGATACATTGATGTTGCTGGGGATAAATCAAGAGGGGGGAAGCTAGACACACAGAGAGCTAGGATAACTGAAAAATCAAGGTCTCAGAAGAGGTGGATGGTGGGATCATCTTTGAACCAAGACTGTAAGCCCTGTGTCACTTGGGCCCTCGGCTTTCCCAGGACAGGGTGGGTCTCCTCTCAGGGGCCTCTTCTTTTCTTTCCCCTCTGGAAAGAAAGGAGCCATAGAGACTCATGCCCTATCTTCATCAACCCTGCCTTTCTAATCCGGCTGCTAGCAGCTTGGGTTGGATGCCTCCCAGACTTGCTAAGTCACGTTCGGGGGCATTGGCGGCTGTGTGTGATCACTTGTGATGGGACTCTTTGAAGCTCTAACAGAGCTTCAAAGGGGGAGCTGATTATATTCTGGCTGTGTCTTCACCTTAAGTGTTAAGGCATAAGACAGCCCCTCGTAACCTGACAGGCATGTTTCTCATTACTTTGCAAACACTTTATGCCAGTTACTCCAGACAGCTCACTGGAGAACATTTCCCCGTTCCTTTTCAGTCTGCCCTACTAAAGATCCCTGAGCAACTTGCAGAGAAGGACTGAGTCTTGTTTGCCGCAGTACATCTAACTCCTAGCACAGTGCTGGGTATAGAGCAGGAATTCAATAGCTGTGGAATACAATTTTCCCTGAATGCACGTGGTGCTTTCCCACCTGCAGACTTTTGTTCATGTTACTCCTCCTCCCCAGAAAATCCTCTTCCCATTTCAGAGTCTTAACTAGATTCCCCTAATCTGCTGTCTCTCTCTCTCTCCCTCCCCTCCAGCACCTGTTACTCTTCATCTTCTTAGCCTGTTATGCTCTGTCCTGAGTTGCCGCCGCATACTGTACTCAAACTGCTGGTTTACTTGATTCACTGCCCTTACCCCCATACCTCCGTTACAGCTTTACCCATCTTTATATCCCAATCTTATATTCATTGTTTCTTTCTTTTTTTTTTTTTTTTTTTTTGAGACAGTTGAGACAGGGTCTCATTCTATCACCCAGGCTGGAGTGCAACGGCACAATCATGGCTCACTGCTGCACCCTCCAACTCCTGGCCTCAACTCCTCAGCCTCCCAAGTAGCTGGGACTACAGGCATGTAGCAACATGCCCAGCTTTTTTATTTTTTATTTTTAGGGGAGACAAGGTCTTATTATGTTTCCCAGGTTGGTCTCCTAGGCTTAAGCAATCCTCCCGTCTTGGCCTCCCAAAGTGCTGGGATTACAGGCATGAGACACCGTGCCCAGCCTACTCCCTGTTTCCTAACAGCAATTAGAATAATGTCTGGCATATAGTAGGTATCAATATACCTGTGTAATCCAGGTAGGACAGGCTCTTCTTCTGTGTCCTGGAGTACTTCTTGCTAAAATACAGCAGGGAGAGATGGGACGGGAATTAAATATTCAGTTCTACTATCTCTCAATTTGGAAACTGTCTCAGACCATAGGACTCTCTAAGTTCAGTGATACCTGGTGGCACATCGATGGCAGGGGTGGAGGCTGCAGCTTTGCTGGAGACACTCTCCCCTTTGATCAGAAAGTGCTTACCACACTTTTGCCCGCCTTACTAGTCTTTGCCAACCCAAACCCACTGACTGCTAAGGAGTCCACAATGAACTTGTTACAGGAAAGGGGTCCCCAAGAGAGGCTTCTTGGGTCTCACAGAAGAAAGAATTCAGGGCGAGTCTGCAGAGTAAAATGAAAGCAAGTTTATTAAGAAAGTAAAGGAATAAAAGAATGGCTATTATGGCTGGGCACGGTAGCTCACACCTGTAATCCCAGCACTTTGAGAGGCTGAGGCGGGCTGATCATGAGGTCAGGAGATCGAGATCAGCCTGATCAACATGGTGAAACCCCATCTCTGCCAAAAAATACAAAAATTAACCTGGCATGATGGTGCATGCCTGTAATCCCAGCTACTCAGGAGACTGAGGAGAATCGCTTGAATCTGGGAGGGAGAGGTTGCAGTGAGCTAAGATTGCGCCACTGCACTGCAGCCTGGGAAAAAGAGAGACTCTGTTTCAAAAAAAAAAAAAAGAAAAAAGAAAAAGAAAAGAAAAGAAGAAAAAGGCTGGGTGTGGTGGCTTATGCCTGTAATCCCAGCACTTTGGGAGGCTGAGGTGAGCGGATCACCTGAGGTCAGGAGTTCAAGACCTGCCTGACCAAAATGGTGAAACCCCGTCTCTACTAAAAATCCAAAAATAGCTGGGCGTGGTGGCTGGTACCTGTCGTCCCAGCTACTCAGGAGGCTGAGACAGGAGAATTGCTTGAACCCAGAAGGCGGAGGTTGCAGTGAGCCAAGAGTGTGCCACTGCACTCCAGCCTGGGCGACAGGGGGCGAGATTCCGTCTTAAAAAAAAAAAAAAAAAAAAGGATACTGCAAAGACAGAGCAGCCCCAAGGGCTGCTGGTTACCCATTTTAATGGTTATTTCTTGATGATATGCTAAACAAGGGGTGGATTATTCATGGTTCCCCTTTGAGACCAAATAGGGTAACTTCCTGATGTCGCCAAGGCATTTGTGAGCTGTCATGGTGCTGGTGGGAGTGTAGCAGTGAGGTCACTCTCATTGCCATCTTGATTTTGGTGGGTCTTGGTTGGTTTCTTTACTGCGATCTGTTTTATCAGCAAGGTCTTTATGACCTGATTCTTGTGCTGACCTCCTATCTCATCCTGTGGCTTAGAATGCCTAACCTTCTGGGAAGGCAGTAGGTTTCAGCCTCATTTTACCCAGCTCCTATTCAAAGTGGGGGTGCTCTGGTTCATATGCCTCTGACACACTGGAGGTACAGGTCGATCTCACAGAGCAGCCAGTATAGTCTGGATGAAGGAACAAAGGAAATGAGACAGTTCCCTTGTACCATTCATGCTGAAGAGGTCTTATAGAATTAGGCCTCCAGAAAGAGGGGACCCACAAAGACCCTTCTTTTCTCCCCATTTCTCCATCTGCCCTCAATACCCCTTCCTGCCAACCCCTTTTTCATGCAAATAGCCCCCTCCAGATACTTCTTTTCGCAGTTTACCCTGTTACCAAAGCTTGTTGATTTTTTTTGTCTGCTTAGTCCATCATTTCCTGAGAAAGGTGTCCTAACATCTCCCACTATGATTGTGGATTTATTTCTCTTTTTACTTCCGTCAACTGTGTTGTGTATTTTAAAGCTATGTTCTTTATTAGGTGCTGCATATCATGTATGAAAAAGTATAGATATAATTTGAGGTCCTGAATGATAGTAAGATTTATTTTTGCTTCTAGAAGGCAGTTGGGGTGTGGGCAGACACTCTTTATTCAGCGGTTTTCAACCACAGGTGATTTTCTCCACCAGGGGGCATTTAGCAATGTCTGGAGACAGTTTGGTTGTCAGAATTTGGGGAAGGGGTGGTGCTACTGGCACCCAGTGGTTAAAGGCCAGGAATGTTAAACATTGCGTAAGATGGTTCACTGATAATGTCAATATCGGTGTCAACAGCACTGAGGTTGAGAAACCTTGCTTTAATCCAATTGTCAGAGGCGCTTGAACCAGAGAAACTCCATCTTGAGTAGGGGGTGCCTAAAATAAGGCTGATACCTGCTGGGCCGCATTCCCAGAAAGTTAGGGATTCTAAGTCAGGGAACGAGATAGGATGTCAGCACAAGACACAGGTCATAAAGACTTTGCCAATAAAACAGGCTGCAGTAAAGAAGCTAGCTAAAACCCACCAACACCAAGATAGCAGCAAGAGTGACCTCTGGTCATCCTCACTGCCACACTCCCACTAGTGCCATGACAGTTTACAAATGCCATGGCAACGTCAGGAAGTGACCCTATGTGGTCTAAAAAGGGGAGGCATGAACCCTCGGCGCTGCTCTGTCTATGGGGTAACCATTCTTTTATTCCTTTACTTGCCTAATGAACTTGCTTTCACTTTACTCTATGGACTCACCCTCAATTATTTCTTGCACCAGATCCAAGAACCTTGAGGTCTGGATCCGGACCCCTTTCCTGCAACACAATCAAACGTTAAGCGAATGGGAAGCTGGGTTTCAGTCTTTGTGAGAGTCTCTCTATTTTCATTCCCATTCCTTCCAAAGACCGAGGCCCTTTGGAAGTTGAAAGCTGGCGGCGGCTACTTGAGCTCTTCCTTCCTTAGCATGAGTCTGCTGGGAGCTTCTCTGCCTCGTGAAATAGGCAAATGCCTCAAAATTCAAAGCTCCGCTAACCTTCTCTCCAGGACCTTGACCCTCAAGTCCTCACCCCCTTGGTGGCTCACCTTCAAACACGTTTGTTTTGCCAGCTTTTCTAGCTGTTCTGGATAGGAAGGCTGATCGACCAATCTGCCTTTGGGGAAACAGCAAGAGATTGCCTCTCAGTCTTTTCTGGAAGCTTTCAAATGCAGGTGGTAGGCCTATTGTGATGCTAATGGAGTCTCTGCTCTGCCCCGACTTTGCCCATTCTGCGTGGAGGGCTCTAGTCCCCCAAGCCTGAAAGAGGATGGGCACTCCCATTTTCCGATCATCCTGCCACCAGGAAGATCTATGGGATGAGAGAGGGAGTGGATTTCTCCCTAGTTAAAAAACAAGAAATGTCTCAGCCTTCGTTTTTCCTTTCTCATACAAGGTGAAGTACTGCAGTCTCATATGAGGAAGCATATTTTTCCTGTTAACATTATTTTGATCCTGCTCCTTAGGAAAGACTAAGCCTGGCATTAAAGTGCTGGGAGCGTTTACCTTCCCCCCACCCCAAAGTCTGGCTTACAGTACTGGAAAACCAACCAAGTGGTGACTGGGCTGGATCACAGACAGATGCGGTCAGCTCCCATTATTAGGAGAGAATTCTAATCAGATTGTGGATGCAATTACTCTGACTCATAAATCTCCCTGACTTTAGAAAACAGGGCTATCTCGCTTATTGGAGGAATCTGGCTTATAGTGTGAATGGAGGCATGGCTGCGTTCTCATCCTCTGAGATGAAGGCGCCCAGACCAGCACAGACATCCTGTGCTCGCTTCCTTTACTTGGTTTTCAAATGAGGGCTTTGTGTATCACTAGTATTGTACGGAATACGAAATAATGAAAGAAGTGATTCTTTGTGTGAGTCATTCTATTAGAAAATGGAGCCCACAGTCAGGAACGGCTCCCCGAGAGAACAGGACAGGATTTCTCCAAGCGGGGATGAAAGCAGAAGGCGCAGTCATGACGCGCCCCCTACTGGTCAGCGCGGAGAAATCCCCCACCTCACGTTTCAATTAGTGCGGATGAGTCCTTGACTAAGAACCTCAGACCTCAGGCCGGCGCGGTGGCTCACACAGGTAGCCCCAGGACTTTGGAAAGCCGAGGCGGGTAGATCACTTGAGACCAGGAGTTTGAAACCAGCCTGGCCTATATGGTGAAACCCCGTCTCTAGTAAAATAACACATATTAGCTGGGGGTAGTGGCGAACACCTGTAATCCCAGCTACTCAGGAGGCTGGGGCAGAATTGCTTGAACCTGGGAGCTGGAGGCTGCTGTGAGCGGAGATTGCGCCATTGCACTCCAAAGAATCACAGAACTGGCCCGGTGCGGTGGCTCACGCCTGTAATCCCAGCACCTTGGGAGGCTGAGGTGGGCCTCTCACTTGAGGTCAGGAGTTCGAGACCAGCCTGGGCAACATGGCGAAACTCCTCTCTCTACCAAATAATACGAATATTAGCCGGGCGATAAGGTGCCCAGCTACTTGGGAGGCTGAGGCAGGGGAATTGCTTGAACCAGGGAGGCTGACGGAGGTTGCAGTGAGCCTAAATCGTGCCACTACACTCCAGCCTGGGTGACAGAGAGAGCTTGTCTAAAAAAAAAAAAAAATTAGAATCACAGAACTGAAGCAGAATTCCATGAATCCAATGGAATTTCATTAAATTCCATGAGTTGGAATTCAATTCCATGAATGAAATTTCATGACTCCATTGGGATTCATGGAACTGCTAACACAGTGAGATACTGAGGAGGCTGAGATGAGAGCCCCTGTCTCAGGATTCCAAGGCCTAATTTAACAGCCAGAATCTGCCAAGGTCAGAGGTAGCCTTAACTTGTACTGTACTCATAAATCAATCTCCCTGGAGATTTCAAACCTTCATATTGCTTTGCTAAAGCCTTAGCTCCTTTCAACTTAAGGAAGTTGATTGGAAAAAAAAAAGGGGGGCAGGCGGACGGGCACAGTGGCTCATGCCTATAATTCCAGCACTTTGGGAGGCCAAGGCAGGTGGATCACGAGGTCAGGAGTTCAAGACCAGCCTGGCCAAGATCGTGAAACCCCGTCTCCACTAAAAACACAAAAAATTAGCTGAGCATGGTGGTGGGTGCCTGTAATCCCAGCTACTTGGGAGGCTGAGGCAGAGAACTTCTTGAACCTAGGAGGCAGAGGCTGCAATGAGTCGAGATAGCGTCACTATACTCCAGCCTGGGCAACAGAGTGAGACTCTGTCTCAAAGCAAAGAAACAAAAAACAGCCTTAGCTCTAAAGAAAGATTTTGAGTTTCTGGCTGGGCACAGTGGTTCATGCCTGTAATCCCAGCACTTTGGGAGGCCGAGGCGGGTGGATCACAAGGTCAGGAGTTCAAGACCAGCCTGATCAAGATGGTGAAATCCTGTCTCTACTAAAAATACACAAATGGGCCCGGTGTGGTGTCGGGTGGCTGTAATCCCAGCTACTTGGGAGGCTGAGGCAGAGAACTGTTTGAACCCAGGAGGCGGAGGTTGCAGTGAGCTGAGATTGCGCCACTGCACTCCAGCCTAGGCAACAGAGCAAGACTCTGTCTCAAAAAAAAAAAAAAAAAAAAAAAAAAGATTTTGAGTTTTACATTCCAGTGGACGGCAAAAACAAAAACAAAAAGCACACATTTGTGCAAAATCAACCGTTTACATTTTATACTAATCAATAACATTTTATACTAATTAGTAACATTTTATACTAATCAATAAGCTATTTTTGGGCCGCATGCTTGTTTGTACACACATGCCTCTGTCTCTCTCTCATTCTAACCTGAAACTTTATCCTTAAATCTCCTTGTACTATGATTATAAAATGTAATTTTATTTTTAACTATATATTTTCTTTTGTTAATTTTTTTTTTTTGAGACAGTCTCACTCTGCTGCCGAGGCTGGAGTGCAGTGGTGTGATCTGAGCTCACTGCAACCTCTGTTTCTTGGGTTCAAACTATTCTCTTGCCTCGATCTCCTCAATTACAGGCATGAGTCATGATTTGTATTTTTAGTAGAAACAGGGTTTTGCCATGTTGGCCAGGTTGGTCTGGAACTCCTGACCTGCTTTGGCCTCCCAAAGTGCTGGGCTTACAGGTGTGAGTTACCATGCCCGGTCTCTTCTGTTAATTTCTTTAATTTTTAAATTTCTATTGACATATTATACTTGTACTTATCGTGAGAGTGCTTGTGATATTTTGATATATGTACACAATATGTAGGATCAAATCAGGGTAACCGAGATATCCATTGCCTCTGTGTATTTTCTGATATCTTGATAATTAGGGTGAAATACAAGGAAAAAAAATAAAATGGAGAAGTTACCATGCTTTTAGTATTTTTAAATCTTGAAATGTATATATTTGAGATAATGAGCCTTTTTGTCTTTTTTTGTCTGAAAGAAATTTGTGACCCAATAATTAGTTAAAATTATCTCAAAAAAATGTTAATGAAACTGGGAACCTTTTGGGAGACATTTTTAAATTACGTCAGCTGCTGCTTTGTCAGAGAGTGGACAGAACTGGCTGAGAACAGTCACAATCAGAGTCTTTGTGTGCACTCTTTTAGTTATGAAAATGTAGGGCAAGTAAGCACTCATTTCCGAGTGAAAAGTGACATAAACACTTTTTTTTTTTTTGAGATGGAGTCTCTCTCTGTTGCCCAGCCTGTTCTTTTTTTTTTTTTTTTTTTTTTTTTTTGAGATGGAGTTTCGCTCATTACCCAGACTGGAGTGCAATGGTGCAATCTCGGCTCACCGCAACCTCCGCCTCCTGGGTTCAGGCAATTCTCCTGCCTCAGCCTCCTGAGTAGCTGGGATTACAGGCATGCGCCACCATGCCCAGCTGATTTTTTGTATTTTTAGTAGAGACGGGGTTTCACCATGTTGACCAGGATGGTCTCGATCTCTTGACCTCGTGATCCACCCGCCTCGGCCTCCCAAAGTGCTGGGATTACAGGCTTGAGCCACCACGCTCAACCCGCCCAGCCGGTTCTTACAGCTGCTCTTCAGACCCCAGCAGTCAAGATGGTGAAGCAGATTGAGAGCAAGGTTGCTTTTCAGGAAGCCTTGGAGGCTGCAGGTGATAAACTTGCCGTAGTTGACTTCTTAGCCACGTGGTGTGGGCCTTGCAAACAGATCAAGCCTTCCTCTCATTCCCTCTCTGAAAAGAATTCCCACATGATATTCCTTGAAGTACGTGTGGATGACTGTCAGGATGTCGCTTCAGAATGTGAAGTCAAATGCATGCCAACCTTCCGGTTTTTTAAGAAGGGACTGGGTGAATTTCCTGGAGCTAATAAGGAAAAGCTTGAAGCCAGCATTAATGAATTAGTCTAATCATGTTTTCTGAAAACATACCAGCCATTGGCTATTTAAAACTTATAATTTTTTTATTTACATAAAGTATGGAGACTATAAACCCAACTGCCATCTGGATGACAATAACATATTAATTCTACCTTTAAAAAAAGAAAGAGGGTACCATAAACAAAGACCCAGAGATGATTGGGGTTTGGGAGGAGGGAGCTGGAGAACAGGTGAGTGTGAACAGAATGCATCAGTCAAGATTCACCTGAGAAACAGAATATACATATACAGTGCTCGTGTGGTAGGGGTGTGTGTGTTTAATATATATATTTTTTGAGACTGAGTCTCGCTGTGTCACCTAGGCTGGAGTGCAATGGCATGATCTCGGCTCTCTGCAACCTCTGCCTCCCTGGTTCAAGCGATTTTCCTGCCTCAGCCTCCTGAGTAGCTGGGATTACAGTCACCCGACACCACGCCCAACTAATTTTTGTATTTTTAGTAGAGATGGGATTTCACCGTGTTGGTCAGGCTGTTCTCAAACTCCTGACCTTGTGATCTGCCCGCCTCGGCCTCCCAAAGCGCTGGGATTACAGGTGTGAGTCACAGCACCCAGCCTAATTTTTTATTATAAATAGCAATGGGGTTTTGCCATGTTTCCTAGGCTGGTCTTGAACTCCTGGGCTGAAGCAATCCATCCTCCCCGGCCTCCCATAATGCTGGGATTAGAGGCATGAGCCACCTCACACAGCCATGTGTGCATTTTTTTTTAAGGAATTGGCTGACATGATTGTGGGGACAGACAAGTTGGAAAGCTGTAGGACAGGGCAGAGTAGGGGAGAGCAGGGTAGGGCAGAGCAGGGTAGGGCAGAGCAGGGTAGGACAGGGCAGAGTAGGGCAGAGCAGGGTAGGGCAGAGCAGGGTAGGACAGGGCAGAGTAGGGCAGAGCAGGGTAGGGCAGGCAGCAGGCTAGAAACTCACTGGGGCGGATGCTGCAGTCTGGAGGCAGAATTTCTTCTCCTCTGGGAGAAGTCAACGGATGGTAGATGTTAACCAAGTCTGCAGAATATGTGCTCAGCAACATCTGGTGTTGGAGCTAAATAGCTGGGTGCTGTGGTCCAGCCAAGGTGCCACCTGAACCACCCTCACACCGTGAGAAGATTGGCAGTTGAGAAAGGAATGCTGGGGACCTTGATGTTGAAGAGAGGGCAGGGGAAGAGGGTGAGTCAGAGCCTTATGGGGAGGAGAGCTGGAGACATTGCATAACAGCGGTGACAGTGTGTCCACAGGAGTGGTTTCGGTAGGGGTGGGGGCAGGAGTGGATGGCAATGGGTGATCAGGATGTGGGAGTTGGGGGGACTTCGCTGGCTCTTCCACGACGTGTGAACAGAAAGTGGGGGCGGTGAGCCGGGCGCAGTGGCTTACACCTGTATCCCAGCACTTTGGGAGGTCAAAGCGGGTGGATCACTTGAGATCAGTTCAAGACTAGCCTGGCCAACATGGTGAAACCCCATCTCTACTAAAAATACAAAATTTAGCTGAGTGTGGTGGTACATATCTGTAATCCCAGCTACTCAGGAGGCTGAAGTGGGAGAATCGCTTGAACCCGGGAGGCCAAGTTTCCAGTGAGCTGAAATTGTACTACCTTACTCCCACCTGAGTGACAGAGCAAGACCCTGTCTCAAAAAAAAAAAAGGGAGGGGGACAGGGGGTAAAGTAAGGAGGAAGCATTTCTTTTTGGTTTGTGCTTTCTGTAGGCTAAGGAGAAGAAAAGAGCCAGTGGGGAGAGAGAGAGATGAAATGGAAGACAGAAAGTGAGGGACTGGCAGGAGGATTTCCCGTCTTCAAACTAGAGGAGACTGCTGGGCACAGTGGCTCATGCTTGTAATTCAGGCACTTTGGGAGGCCGAGGCAGGCAGATCACGAGGTCAGGAGTTCGAGACCAGCCTGGCCAACATGGTGAAACTCTGTCTCTGCTAAGAATACAAAAATTAGCTGGGCATGGTGGCACGCACCTGTAGTCCCAGCTACTGGAGAGGTGGAGTTTGCAATGAGCCAATAATCGCTTGAACCCGAAAGGCAAAGGTTGCAGTGAGCCAAGATTGCACCACTGCACTCCCGCCTGGGTGACAGAGCGAGACACCGTTTCCAAAAAAAAAAAAAAGAAAAAAAAAGAACTAGAGGAGACCTTCTTCCTCAGACTCCATCCATGCAGCCATCCAGATCCTAGGGCAAAGCTCTGGCTAGAGAAGGCAAGGACAGACAAGGGAATGTTTTAGAAAAACACTATCTGGAATGCTTTTCCAAGCCCCTTCGCACCTTCAGGCTGGCTTCCAGTTACACAAGGAGCTCTGGGCCCACTTGTGAGGTGCGGGAGTGACCCTGTCCATCGGGAGGACCTGTGGCTGCCTCCTCATCCCTTCCCCTGAGCACAGGAAGGCCCCATTGCTGGCTTCCGCTGCCCTCTCTTGTGGTCCTGTCCCTCCTCGCCTGCTCAGATGCCCCCCGGGGACTGATGTAGCCCTTCCTGGTCTCCACTGGTTCCTACTGGGCAGGGCTGGGCAACGGCTTAGAGTACCAGGAAGGCAGGGTCCTGCCCAAGTGCACATACACATGAGTGGAGGAATTTTTACAATGTTTAGGAAGCAACAAAGTAAACATGGGAATTTCAGATCTTCTTTACACACTTTTTGTTTTTAATTTAAATTACGTATTGAGGGAAGCGCTACACTTTTTTCCATAGGTGGGCGTCTAGGGCTTCCCCAGCCTGGCTTTCAGCCCTCTGCACTCACACTCTTCACAGCCACAGGAAATGAAAGGGCACCAGAATCACTAAGGGTGGGTGTGCCTGCTGGAGCTTTTTTTGTGCTGCCTGAAAGTTCGAAACATGCTGGAACACAGAAACAAAGGTATTTGCCCAAGTGACTAAGACATGTTCCAGCATTTTCCCACAGGCTCCTGCACATCCCAAAATAACTGCAACCCTGGATCCTGTCCATTGGCATTCGATTACATTTGTATAATGTTACGGACAGTGGGCAGGCCGGCCAGCCACACTCACACGGGGCTAGCGGGACTGGACAGCCCATCATGGAGCTCTGTGCTGTGCTTCCTGGCTGGGCTGCTCAGGGAGATATACCCAGACAGAGACCACAACAGCAGCAAGGGCGGGCCTGCCAGAAACACCCAGATCACCAAGAGGAACCTTGGGCAAGGCCTTCCTTTCACAGATGGGAGCAAAGGGCCCAGAGAGAAGAAATAACTTACATCAATTAAAGTAAATAAATTACATATCTGGGAATTATGAGGAAGTTGGTGAAAGAGTTGGCCCTAAACTGACATCTCCTGAGGATGGTATTTATTTCTGCAGGAACATCAATTTAGCCTTAGAATTCTAACATCTTAAGCGGAAGGGACTTTTAAGCACCCCTTGGCTATCAAGGTTGCCACTGTGCCCAGGTCCAGACAACAATGTGGGAAGAAGGAATTGCTGGAATGGACCTGCCACCCCTCCGGGGATTCAGTCTTGCTGAGGAAATGACTAAGGATGTTGAGAAAACAACTGGGTCTTGGCAAATGCACAGAAAGGTGCTGGGAGCTTTGGGAAGGGAAGAGTCTGAGAAGAAATGCATGGTTCAGGTGGGGAAATTTTCAACCCAAGGGCCTCAAGAGTGGGAAGATCTGGAGGCCGGGCATGGTGGCTCATATCTGTCATCCCAGCACTTTGGGAGGCCGAGGCAGGTGGATCACTTGAGGTCAGGGGTTTGAGACCAGCCTGGCCAACACTGCAAAACTCCATCTCTACTAAAAACACAAAAATTAGCTGGGTGTGGTGGCACACGCCCATAATTCCAGCTACTTGGGAGGCAGAGGCAGGAGAATCGCTTGAACCCAGGAGGCAGAGGTTTCAGTGAGCCGAGATGGCGCCACTGCACTCCAGCCTGGGCAACAGAGTGAGACTCCCAACTCAAAAAAAAAAAAAAGAGTGAAGATTTGGAAAAGCAGTTAGGGAGGGCCTGAGCAGGCATCACAGGAAAAAGCCCTGATACTCAGTAGATACTCAGTAGCTGTATGCCCCCCCCACTCCTACAGGGGCCAAGACAGTGGTGTCACCAAGAACATATACAGCTAGCTCTATGCCCTGCTCCCCACACAAGGCCCAGGGGCCACCAACACTGGCCAGCTAACTCCCATCCTGATGCCCATGGCATGTCTAATTTGGACGATTGAAAATATTCCTGCCACATTAAAGAGCTACTTATTTGATGACGTTTAGTGATAAAAATACTATCAACCTAATTCAGTAACCACTCAAGGAGGCTTAATGTCATATGAGGTCCATTGAGTCCCAAAGAGAAGTGGTCACATCATCTTTGGTTCATTTTTTTTTTTTTTTTGAGACTGAGTCTCACTCTGTTGCCCAGGCTGGAGTGCAGTGGTGTGATCTCAGCTCACTGCGACCTCTGCCTCCCAGGTTCAAGTGGTTCTTGTGCCCCAGCCTCCCAAGTAGCTGGAATTATAGGTGCATGCCACTATGCCTGGCTAATTTTTGTATTTTTAGTAGAGAGGGGGTTTCACCATGTTGGCCAGGCTGGTCTCGAACTCCTGACTTCAAGTTAATCCACCCACCTCAGCTTCCCAAAGTGCTGGGATTATAGGCATGAGCCACCGTGCCCGGCCTGGTTCATTTTTAAAATAGTCCAGTAGGCTTTTTTTTTTTTTGCCCCCTATTTACACGTTTGAGTTTCTAGAATCAGTGGCATGTCGGCTTGTACTCCCCACATGAGTTCACCCAGGAATGATGTTGGCAGACTCCCATAGGAATGACTTCAGCCTTCCTCAGCAGGCTAACAGTGGCGAGCACACCAGTGTGTATTTTTGTGCGGCATCGTCAGGCACCAATATTAAACTCAATATAGTCCTAAGAAATTCAGCTCGGGGGCTCTTAAGGCAGCACCCTCACTGAGAGTTCCAAGGTTTCAGGCCTTTCTCTTTTCACTTTATTTTGCAAGGAGTTAAAAAAAAAAAAAAAAATTCAGCACATCTCCACGCTGCGGGGCTGTGGTCCTTCCCAAGCTTTAAAAAAAAAAAAAAAACTACTGGCACAGGAAGAATCATCTCTACCCAGGCCTCACTGTATCTGGTTCATAACTCCAGAGGCTTCTAGGAACCCAATTCAGGAAGATAAATCTGGTCCCAGTCTGGTTTGGTGACTCACAAGGTGTTGATAAAGATGACCCCA